AGAATACGGCAAATGTTTAACTATTGGTTTCAATATGCTAAGCAAATTAAGGTCAGCCATGTAACCTCTTTGTTCCAGGGTGACCATACGGCTTTCCATTCAAACAGCTAGACATGAAAATACATCAGGGTCCACATCATTCATGTCGAGACCCACCAGCAATCCGTCCAAAAGTGAGCGTGCAACCTCGTGTGAGCGCCCAAATAGATCTTTGCGAATCGTGCATGCCCTATCGTACCCAACCGTGGGTGGCAACATGATGCAATCTTCAATGGCGCTCCTAGCCTCCCCTTTATAGTAATGAAGTAAATATAACAAGCGTTGCCCGTCGTCATTGGTCTTGGAGGCAAAGTATATTTGAAATTGCCGAATGAACCTCTAGTACATTGTGGGTCGCCCATTGAAAGACAGAAGCTCTAATTTGGGTTGGTCTAGAAGGGCAGTAATTTGGCTTGACGTGGACGTCGTCGTCTTATGTTCTCTGTCTAGCTCATCGAACCCTGCTGTCCTGGGAACAAAAAGTCCACTCGCCTCCGCAGTGTCCCATGCTGCATGGTTTTCAACAAACTGCATCACTCAATTTTTTCCGTCTTCACTGAGGATAGAACGGATGGAAAACTTATCCTCCATTTTCTCTGCGAGCCTCGCAGTCTCCAATTCTTGTATTACTGCTAGCAGCTCGCTTCTATGCCTTTTTTGGAGCTCTTTTTATGTGCTGCTCCATTTTTTCTCGCAGATAGCGTTCCTTCATTTCAATTAACGAAACGCTAATCTTCGACTTATCGCTCAGCCGACTAGACCCACTAACCCTGGAGCCATGAACAGAAAAACTATGGAAAGGGACTTGCCGAGATTCTCCAGCGTTGTTCGATCCCCGTTGTTCGTCATCAACGTCCTTGTTTGTCATATTTATTCTTTGAGTGACGGGCATATCAGAGTTTAGTAACGACCAAAACGCGATTGTCCTGGTTCGAGCAAAACAAAAAAGACCCCGTTTGTATGCGTTCAATCAAATGACCCTCCGCTTGTTCTGGATAGCGATAAACAAATCTTAGAGCAACGCGCAGCCCAAATAATCGAGAACCAAGTCGATCGAAAAATAATCTTTGGTACCATTTTTGCATTAATCACAAATAATAAGGCAGTCATATCTCTAATAGTGAGCCTGACTCACTATCCAGCCAAAATGTTACAAATATTCACAGAAAATATCTGCGGTAATAAAAAGTAAATGAGAAAATGAGTGATTGAATTACCTTTGAGATACTTCCGGACCAATAGGAAAATTCTGCACGCTTCAAGCAAAATAATCTTGAGCGTTACAGACAAAAGGGATTCAATATTACAGAAAATAACGGTTAATCCAACAAAGAGCGTCCAATCGAAACTTTGGTCGCACTAAAACACGAAAGAGTACTGAATCACATTTACATATAAGAGCAAAGCACTTGAAATGTGTGTTTAATAGATATGCTTCATCGTAAAGAAGGTGAAATAGAAGGTTCAGAATAGAAAATTCGCCGACATGCAAACCACTGTCGGAAAGAATGCGCGATAGAATGGCGAAGAAAGATAAGGAAATGCAAGGTAATCTAGAGAAATTTTCGGTTTTGTTGACCGTTACAATGGTAACTCCCTTAAGTGGAGCCACGCCGAATTTCGCCATAACCAGGTTAAATACAACATTAACATTCATATTGTTCTTCAAACAGGCTGCAGCCCCGTCATCTGATTTAGAATAGGTGCAGTTGGGCTGACTCACGGGCTCTTTGGTTTTCGCTCCCCAAACACCTCGACACCTTTAATTTCTTTAAGGTGGTAACTTCATTAACCCAAGTTTCCCAAGTGTGCCGGTCATTATCACCTACTAGTTCATCCCGTCCAATTCTTTTGTGATGAAGTACTATAGTACGCTCTTGGGCATCTAGATTAATATTTAGCTGTGCACAACTAATCGCACTTTCGCTCTCTGGAATATTGCTTATGGCGTCACTTCAGTTGCTTAACCACTTACATAGCCGGAAATCTCCCTTGCTTAGCGCTGCTCTTAATTGATCCGCGAAAAGCATTGCTTGTTCGGCATCTTCAAACGATGCTAAACAGCCACCGACGTTAAAATATGGTCCAATGGCACATCTCACTCGATCATCGACAATGTCTGTGAATGATTCGACCGTGCGGCATAAGGCGTAGTTCGCACAATATGGCGACGGGGTGGCACCAAATGGGTGAACTAAAATTCTATATTCCTTTGGTTGTCGACTGAGATCTCCATCGGGCCACCATAGGAACCTTAATACTCCCGAGTCA